ACCAACATTAACCCAGTCTTTGTTTCTTCTTTTAGAACATTATAGCAGTAACACCTGTCTCACAGGATTGCCCCAAGATTAAATACAGTGAAGTATATCAAACTTGGTAAAACCATTTAACACTGTTGCTTCTGCATATTTGTGGATTTCAAGCTGGCTTCTAATCCCTTTGGCTCTAATGAATGTGCTCTTAAAATAACCACTGGTTTGCTCACAGACAAATCCAGAAGTCATTGCTTTGTCCCTGTGGCAGACAATGACATTCACCACATCCCAAATTCTATTATATCCCCTAAAGTTCTATTTTTAAGTAGGCAATCATAGCCCTACTATGGATCCATGAAATGAGTGCTAAGATATTATCAATGTCGGGGAGGAGGGAGAATCAATAGATTGCAGGTTTCCAGAGGCTGAGGTTTACATGTTTTTAAACAGACTGGAGTGGTTAAGAATTCTAAGTGAGGGCCCAGCTAAAGTCCTCGCCTTGCATGTGTCAGGATCCCATATGGATGCCAGTTTCAAACTGGCAGCCCTGCTTCCCATCCAGCCCCCTGCTTGTGGAAGGAAGAGGCTCCAGGCTCCCAGCTTCACATTGGCGCAGCTCCAGCCATCGTGGCTGCTTGGGGACTGAATCAACAGACAGAAGATCTAGCTCTCTGTCTCTTTCTCTCCGTGTATCTGACTTTCCCATAAAATTAAATAAATGTATTTTTAAAAGATCAAATATGAAAAATGTAAAAATAGGTCTGGTGTAGAGAATAAAAGAAATGAACTTTAATGTACTTACCCTAGCTTTCCTTTCTACCTGAGGATCATTTCTTTCTCAACCTACAAATACACACCAGAGGACTTGCTTTATCGACCATCCACTGATTTATCCCACAGTACTATGCTGCCTTCTATGCTAGAAGACAAGAAAGGAGAGCTAAACAAGATCAGCAAGCCTCTGCCTTGCTGGGATTTGTAATCTACCATGCAGGACGGGGATTAAACAAAAGAATAGTTACAAATGTAAGCAAGCACTATTGAGATCAATTCTTTAATGAAGAGCCAGAAGACTTACAAGAATGTAAAAATGGATACTGGGCAGGAGACTACAGGATGAAGAGAGAATATTCCAGTAAAGAAGAGAAGAGTAGTTACGGCATAGAAAACAAAACATTCAGATGTCCTGAGGTATGAAAGGGGATGTACCAGCAAAAAATGAAAAGGAACCTTAATGGGATCCCTGATAAAACCAGCCGAACAGCAGAAGATAAAGCTGGGGAGGAAGACAGAGGCCAGATTGGTAGGAGCCTTATAGGAATTGATGAGTTATTTGTTTTACTTGGATTTATTAGGCATTTAAATGGATAAACAAAAGTATGTATTTATAGAGTAAAGCATGATTTTTTTAAACAGGAATATATTGCAGAATGTCTACAGCAAGCTAATTAATGTCTGTATTATCTCGAAGTGTATCCTTCCGTTGTAAGGAAGAATATTTAAAATAGATTTGCTTGGCAATTTTCAACTACACCACCAAGCATTGCTACTCACTATAGTTAATATGTTGTATGATAGATCTCTTGAATTTATTCCTCTTATATGAAATGTATGCTCTTATGAGCATCTGTCCAATCTTCCTGTTACGCTAGTCTCCAGTAATGACCATTCTATTCTCTGCATCTATGAGTACGACCATGTGATTTTCCATAATGGCTGTAATAATTTACATTTCCACCAATATCGTACAAAGGTTTTCTTTTCTCCACATTGTTGTCAATACTTTCCTCTTTTTTATAAGGTCCATTCTAAAAGATTTGAGGTTGAGGGGCCCAGCACGATAGCCTAGTAGCTAAATCCTTCCCTTGCATGCACTGGGATTTCATGTGGGTGCTGGTTCATGTCCCAGCTGCTCCAGTTCCTTTCTAGCTCCCTGCTTGAGGCCTGGGAAAGCAGTCGAGGATGGCCCAAAGCCTTGGGACCCTGCACCACGTGTGAGACCCGGAAGAGGTTTCTGGATCTTGGCTTTGGATCGGCATAGCATCGGCCGTTGCGCTCACTTAGGGAGTGAGTCATCAGACGGAAGATCTTCCTCTCCTTCTCTCCTCCTCTCTGTATATCTGACTTTCCAATAAATAAATCTTTTTAAAAAATACATCTTTAAATATTTGAGGCTGCAATCTCAATGTGATTTTCATTTGTTTTCCTGATGATAGTGATATTGAATGATTTCTTTTGAAAAGCATCTATTCAGACCCTTTATTCGTTTTTTAAATTTGGTATTTGCTTTGTTACTGTTGAGTCATTTGAGTTCCTGATGAGGAGTCTTGAGTTTATGAAATGAAATTGCTCTCCATCAAGACATCGCAATCTGTGACACTATCAGTAAGAAAAGTGTTTTGTGACACGAATAGGTCCTGCAAGCAGGTGAGTGATAGCCAATATGCTATAATAAATTACAGACTATGAGATCATATAGACAAGATAAATGAATCCTGTTCCATCGCTTTTTGAATATGAATTTATGGAATTATTTCCTCTCCTTTAGCTCTGACTTCCTTCCCAACATCATAAGGATAGCAGACAGTGGAAAAACAGGTCATCGAAAACTTCGGGTTTGTTTGAATTGATACAGAAAATAACATTATTTCATATAATAAAAGGTTCTAGGCTAGGGCAAGTAGGGTTTAGAATACTAAAACTGAACATCTTCATGCTCCTAGATCTAATTTTTCCATACTCTTTCTTCTTTGGTGTTTTTCCAGTTCCCCTCATTGTGAAGCTATTCCAAGTGTTGTATACGGTTGTGACACTGACACCAGCAGAGGAGAGGATGGACCACTCATCTGTCTGCAGTATCTGTTCGTGCATAACACCCGCTTTCTTACAGAATCAGTGCCTCCCTGCCTGCTGACTACCTCTACACGTGTGGATAGGCACAGAGCGATGACTAATGAGTCTGCCCAGGTGCTGCGTTACACTTTGCCAGCATGAGTACACTAACACATATCAACATCTTTCTCTGATGTCGGAGAAAGAAAGAAACAGTCTCCAAAGATTTCATGCACAGCCTATTGTTCACACCTCATTGGCTCAAGCTATGTTCTAGGATCATGCCAGTCAAGGCTCATCAGTAGAAAGAGTAGGTGTACCAATCTTGCTACCTTAGTTCTATCACTGTTTACTCACAAGGCTGAAATGTGTGCCCCTTCCGCTGCAACATCAGGCCACAAGAGAATAGTTTAACCAAAATGACTAAAAACAAAAAAGGACTGATGACTTGCTGAGTAGACAAACTTAACAGTGTCTAAAACATTAGCATATATTTTTCAGAGTTGTGGTTGATATTTATAACAAGGGAATTAATCATATTTCTACAGATTATTTGTAACCCCTTTACATCAATACAACTCCATTTTGCCGATTACCTAGATGGACTCCCAAGGTTCTCTATTTGCCTACCCCAAGAAGAGGAGCTGCTTATAAACTAAAAGAACCAATTTTTGTATGTGAGGATTAGGACTACCTGTACTGTGTATTATCCTTCATTTAAAAATATTTTCATTTTAAAATAGCTTTTGTGTTCTCATACTCAGAGCTAGTCCGGTTTCATTAACTCTTTAAACAGTTATCTCATAAGCACTTGAGGCACTGAGCTTTCAGTAAGTCTCTGCTCAGCTCTTGTCTCCATCATTGGGCTGTCGAGGTCAATTATGCTTTTTAATCCTCAGTGTTTCCATGAGTAACATGGAATAACTGTTTTGCTCTGAGAATCAAGTAGGTAAAAAGTGCATGTACAATTTTGAGGAGTATGGTGTGTGCTAAATCAATACACATTTCAGCTTCTTTTGTCACTATCTGGCTCACATGGTGGTCAAGATGATGAATTATGAAACACATGTGTAGCCATGGCACATAGTAAATAGTTAATAAATGGCATCTATTATGTTTGCCATAGCCAGAACAGTAGGTGCCTTTATTAGTGCTGTGATGTTTTTTTCTACTTTTTGATTGGTGGAACCATGCCACTGCAATCATGCTACAGGTATTAATTTTTCAGACAAAACACATGGTTAGTGTTTCAAATTACTGCCTACTCCCTTCAGGGTCTGTCATGTTACACTAAATGGCCTGCTGTGGTCATTTACCAAACTAATAATTAAATGCTGGAATTTTGCTAAAACAAGTTAGCAAAAGATATTGGTCTTCAGCCTATACCCAGAAATGGATGTTTTGGAAACTATATACTTTACCCTTTTGAAAAATTTGACTTGTCCTTAATCCCCCTCACAACTGCCTGTATTTACTGAACGCCTCAATCCAGTGGGCTCTTGTGTATCCTGCATCAAGAGTAGGTTCATTGCATTTCATTCTTGAAAAGAAAAAAGTATCTTTCATAAGAAGATTCAATGGATTTTGACATAATTAATGTCATTCTGGCACAAACTACTTTAAATTATGGAGTAGAGAGAGTCTTTGTGGTGAATAAAAACACACTAGTTGTGCCAACAGAGAAGTATGAGCTTAAGAATGGACTTTTAAAGTGGTATTAAAGGACTGCTGGGTGGGGCGCAGCTGGAAGAGCAAAGATCAACAATGGTTCTCCATGCTCCAGTCAGAAGAGGCTATACACCCACAATCAGAAACTGAGCTCGAGTCTGTATTTTAGCACCCTCAGGCTTCGCACTCAGCCCCACCATCCAGTGACGTCCTAATCAGCCACAGGTCCTTTCAGACCTCATCCTCAGTATTCTCCTGAAGGGACGCTTGCCTAAGACTGAGTATGTCACTTAATATCATGGCAATACTCCTGCTGATTGCCAACCCCTAATAAGAGACTGTCAAGACTAAGCAACAACAACAACAAAAAGATAACCTGGGTTATAGATAAAAATATTTGCAAGCCCTATGTCTGACAAGGCCTTTACATCTAAAGTATGCAAGAAACTTACACCACACAACAATAGGACAAATATTCGTCATCATCATCGTTGTCATCATCATTGGCCAAGGTCCTGGTAGGGCATCTTTTCAAGAGTTTGCATGTCATCCATGCATAGTGTTCATGCTAATCTTCTTTGTACTGTTCCGATTTTAATATACATTCTGCCAAAGCAAGCATGCTTCTTCAAAGAAGACACAAAGTTGCCAGCAGAGCAGGCATTAGCCCCCGGAGAAGGCAAATCAAAATATGAAATGATATCCATTCCACCAGTTAGACTGGCTTGTCTTAAGTAAAGGTTGTGAAGAAAAGGGAAACGTTATGCCTTGTTGATAGCAATGTAAACTGGCATAGCCATTAGGAAAACAATTACAGAAGCTCCTCAAAAATAAAACTTAGAAGCATCACATGATCAGTGATTCCACCACCACTTCTTTAGCCAATGAAAATGAATCAGTCTTTTGAAGAGATAGTTGGAGCCCCATGTTTACTGCAATGTTATCCACAATAACAAAGTAATAAAGTATGTATCATTGGATAGATAAAAATGTAAAATACACTGTGATACACACGTGCACACACACACACACGGTGGAATGCTCTTAAGCCACTAAAAAGTAGGAAATCTTGCATTTGTGACAACATGGAAGAATCTAGAGGAGAACCATTACTGCTGTCGCCTATTGCTTTATTTTGCTTTCTGTGTAGAACTTATCACTGTGCATAATTATCCTTTAGTCAAGTTATTATTGTCTCTCAGTCAGCATAGTGAAAATACCATAAGAGTAAAGATATTTTTTAATCAAAATCAAAGCCCTGTGTATGAATGGTGCTGGAACTTCATGGTATTCGATAAAATAAATGACATTATCATTTCCTAAAATAAAATACTATGGTCTTGAACTCTCATAGTCCTGTCATTCTTATATCACTTCTCTGCTCCACTTCAAGTCAATATTCCATAAGTATCACCCAAAACATCTTCTTCCATTTCTTTGCCTTCTTAACCCACACAAGACTGGCTTATATCTCCAGACACCACTCTCCTGGATAGTGTAGACAATAGCTTCTTCTTGCAAACTTGGTGATCACTTTTCAGTTATTTTCTTATCAGACATGCACTGATCAATATGGTGCAAGCCTTCATTTTAAAAATCATTATCCACACATATTGGACAGTATAAACACTTCCATCATGACAGTTTCAATGGATATACCCAAGTTGTATTTAGAATTCTCATAATTTGACCCCTTCTTTACTAAACTTTCTCTTGCTCCTATTAAGTATCTTCTACTCTATCTTTAAATATTGGAATATTATAGAAAAATAAGATTAAAGCTTTGTCTTTTTTCTCTCTCCTTTAGGTAAACTTAACCATTTCTATTATCTTAAATATCTTCTCCAATGTAGTATATTAGATGTAGCATTCTATATTCATACTTGGAGCACTAGAATTTCAAGGATATGTTTATTTTGCATGGAGGTTTCTGGAAATCCATGCAGAGATGTTTTAATACATATCATAATATAATAGGAACTTTTTGAAAATCATACACACACAACACAACACAGTGTTATCCCCTCCATAGTAAAGCTGTTATGTTTTGCCTGACTCAGGCACACTCATTCTCTTCAGCCTTCAGATAATACCACTGTAGAATTTTCAGAGCTGCCTAATTCTGTCATTGTCCTGTCTTTTCAATGAACATGGAATGAAATCCCAAATCATGACCATAATCTCCATTCCCTTCATGACCTGCTTCTACTTGTCTCTATCTTTTGTCTCATAATCTTTATCCCCAGAGATAAAATGAATGTAATAGATCATATGTTGTGCATAATATATTTCCCAATCAAGCAGATTCCCTAGATAATGAGAAAAAATACATCTATCTAATGAAACAATGTAAATCCAGCCTCAATGCATAGTTTTGTTTTTAATGAATGTTGGCTGAATGGATTACTCAAGGAAAAAGAAGAGGCTTTGTGAAGGGAGAAAAATCTGGGCTTAGCTCTTTGCTGTACATCTCAGTAATGTGAGCCTGATTTTGGGTTAAAGAAAAAAGCATGTATGCATTTATTTTACGTAGTTTATTTTATTTTAGGTATCATTAAATATATAAACATATTATACATTTTGTAACTTGGTACTACTGGATTATTGTTTTTCAAGCTGTAAAAAGTCAGATAGTGGTATACTTCCCATCTTATATCTCAAGTACTTTTGTTATTTTTTTTGCCTTCCTATAGAAATTAAAAGAGTATCTTAAGAGACAGGAAGTGAGCAAACCATAACAGAAGCCAGAGGTCAGACAGTGTCTCTTCAGTTACAGTAAAGTCAACTTTGCCTTGGGGTGGTTCCATATGTTCCAGGAGAGAAGAATCACAGAATCACCACAGCTCTATCCCTCCAAGTCAGGGTTATGTTGAGCTCAAGAACGAAGATTAAAAAAAAAGTCTTATATTGGCCAAAGTCAGACTAATGTTTGAACAACTGGTTCCATAATTCTACTTTTTCCTATCAGATTTACCCTGACAAATTCTCTTCATCTCTTAGAACTTGGACGCCTATATTTGTAAAACAGGAATGATCAGACATACTCCTAAGATTATGATAATATTTTAATGAGGACATTATGCAATACGTACACAGAGTTTAGAAAACATGTGCAGATATTCAAGTGATCCCTTTCTCCTTCACAGCTATAATTAATATATATAACATGTCACTGCCACTTGGAAGTAAATGCCTGAGACTGAAAGAATGTAGGCCCATCAGTCAGGATAATAATGGTGATGATAATTATAACAAATACTGCTACTCTATCTTTTTTTATTAGAGGGGGCTTACAAGATTTTTTTCTACTGAAACTTTACTTTCAGGTTCACAAGCTCCTAGCTGATCTTTTCTGCTAGGCCAGGTTACGTGATCGTGCATTTTGCCAAGCTCGGTGCATTTGCTACCACTGCAACTGCTGTTGGAAATGATCAAATTTTTGACTGTGTGCTCCAAATATAGCAATGGATCATGACACTTAGATATTTCTTCAGGGAGTATTAATTGTAGGGAAAAAGTGATGGCATCTTATTTAGGTTGTCTGGAAGATCAACGAAGATTATAATTTATAGTTACTATGGTAGCTAATTATACCTTCAAGGATATGCAAGTTGCTGCTTTAAAAAAAAAAGATTTGATCATAGATGAGACCCTTGTTTGGGAATCAAAGAAAATAATAAAGTGGAATTTGCATCTTGAAAAGTGCCTGGCTACTAAGATCAAGTTTCTCTTCAGACGGAAAAAAAAAAAAAGGTCAGGTTTCTCTGTTTTTCCGTAGGGCAAAAGCTCATATAAAGTATAGGAAATGTGGGGACAATTTACATAATATAAAATTTTATACATGTGTTTTCTCCTGTAATTTCTATTTACTATATGACTATCCTTTATTTGGGGAGATGAGTATCATTTATCCACATTATGGCTTTGATCAAAGGCTTGGGGCAGGTTCCACCAGGACAAGACATCTGGGAGAATACGCCATGAGACAGAGCTAGTAAAAATCTAGCTAAAGGGTCTGGTGCGGTGGTGCAAGTGGTTAAGGTCCTCGCCTTGCACGCCCAGGATCCCATATGGGCGCCGGTTCTATCCCGGCAGCCCCGCTTCCCATCCAGCTCCCTGCCTGTGGCCCGGGAAAGCAGTGGAGGACGGCCCAAGGTTTTGGGACCCTGCACCCGCGTGGGAGACCGGGAAGAGTCTCCTGGCTTCGGATCAGCATAGCATCGGACGGAAGATCTTCCTCTCTGTCTCTCCTCTCTGTATATCCGCCTTTCCAATTAAAAAAAAAAAAAGTCTAGCTAAATACCTTCTGAGATCAGAAAAGTGAAAGGTAGAGAAAAATAAAAGTGAGCAAAGGCTGAAGAACTTGGCAACACATCATACACCTTCAGATCAAGTCCCAGGACAAATTCTCTGGAGAAGGAACAATGGATTATAGGAGTGTTATAAGAATCTGATCAACTGAGAATGGTGCAACCCATGGACAGTGGCTGGAGAATTTTGGGTGGTTGGCCAGAAACCAATAACTAGTAGTCAATTATCTTCTTTCCCACCTCCCATATTTTCCTGTTTGAGTTTAGAGAGATCTATCAAGAAACAGGGAATAAATTCTGATTTGAGTTAGTTTCAACCTACAATGCCTCTTCAAACTAATAATTTGATGGTATTTTCTGTCAGAGATTAAGTAGCATACTAGAAAAAAACAAAGTGATTCTCACATTTTTCCACACCTGAATTCATGGCTTCTAAAAGCAAAGTTCAGTTCCAGGAGATTATTTATGTTTCAGTGCAAAAAATAAAAGAGGGTAGCTTCAAGTCAGTAGTCCAAATTTCTATCCATCACCATGTGCTTCAAAATAATATATCAGATATGGAGGAAGTCTGTATGCTCTTCTGTTACCTATAAAGATATCCTAAGGAAAATCTGCTATGAGTTCAAATATGTTCCTCCAAGTGCACTTGTTGGAAGATTCAATCCCTTAGTCAACAGTGGTGGGAAGTGAGATCTTTAACAGGTGACCAGGCCGGAGCTTCCTTTACGAATGTGGCAATGCTGCTACCACAGGAGTGAGCAACTTGCTGTGAATGTAGGTTCCTTAGAAAGGATGAGTCTAACCCTCCCCCTCCCACTTCTGCCCTCTCTTCTTCCCTCCTTTCCCCATCTCTCCCTTGCCATCCCCTTCTCTTTATTTCTTTCCTTGCTTCTCTTCCTCCCTACTTTCCAACCCTACCACTTCCAGCCATGCTATGATGTAGCAAAAGGACTCTTGTCAGAATGAGGGTCCCTCAACCTTGTATTTCCCAATTGTCATGGCTTGTAAGAAGTAAATGTATGTCCTTACTCCCACATGGGATGGAAGAAGCCCAAATCCTTCCTCACAGGATACAGTCTTATCGGAACAATAGCCAGGAGCCCTGAGCAGTCCGCAGAAACAGAAGAAGAGAAAACTTCCTTCGGGACTAGGGAGAGGAACTTTCTCTGGTACTTACTTAGTTCCAACTTTGGATCCCCACCCTCTCCTGCAATGACCATCAGGGTCACTCCAGAGGCCCCCCCAAACAAACAGACAAAAAAATTAGAATAGACAGAGAATAACAAGGAAAGCTTAGAACCTGACAGGAAAC